ATTTATTATCACAACGAAAGCTTTACTAATCGTTTGCTGGACGTGTAGTTTGTCACCGACGCGCTTGGCCCCTAAATTCAAAACTAAATTCTACATCTTGATACATAATTGATATTCTTGGCTGCCGAACATTTGGAATATATATCTAGCGAGGGCAAGACAGGGCAAGACGGAGCAAGAAGGGGAGGGGAGAAAGTCGGCACGGTAAACGAGGTCGAGTGTTGGCAGCGTATAATTTCGATGACAAGCAAAGGGGTGGTTATCTCTCGTTGCTTCTCACCCTCTTTGCCACGGACTGCGAGTGGTGAGCCACCCCCGCGTGATTGTATTAATTCAAGCCGTCCCCTCCGCCCCGGCCTCCCATTTACACCTCACTCTCCCTTCTGTTCTGCCACCCCCCTCGCAGCTCAGCCCCCCTCTCCACGGGCCCCGTGTTGACGTCACCCCTCCCGAGGCACAACTTCCGGGGACAAACGAAGCGTGTCGGCGTCGCGTATAATGAAGCGCGCTCGTTCGTTTCCTCGGCGTTTTCTTGTTACCCGTCCTCGTGTCCCACGCGAAGACGCCCGTGTCGGCGTCTAAGTCTAAATTCCGACGATCTTGGGATTCGCGAGGGTAGATAATCGATCACTATCGCGCTGAAGAGTTAAGAATTTTAAGAAGTTACGAAATGAAGAAAAACGCTTTCACAGCATATCGCTGCGGAGTCATGGGTAATTAGCACTGGTTGCAAATTGTACAGCGTGGAATCAATTATTATGTTGTGGGGGCAAATCAATTATTAAATTCCAGCAGTTTAGGTCTTAAAGTATAAAAGAAATGAAAACGGAGGCCGGTATTCGTAGTCAGATCTTATATACAAGACAGCCTCGATTTTATCTAAAGATGCTGTATGGAACATTTCATTGGCTATACAATATCTAGAGATGATCTGAAGACGGTCTTGAATACAAGATTTGACCACGAATACCGGCCGGAGTCTTTAAAAAACTTGCAATATTTGCGAAATCACCAATTGCGAATACCAATGCATTACGTTCGCCTGTCGCTGAACAAGGGTAGTCTAGCATCGGTAGCTGACAGATCGCGCGACGTCCATTGTCATCGGCGCAATATGCGTTATCTCGCCGGCGAGAGTGGATATCGTTCCGTTCAGGGGGAGGGAGTTACGGCCGGTGCACGTGCGGAGGGATGGTCGTCGGCGGCAAGTGTTCGAAAAGGCGGGAGTGGATGATCGTCGTTCGTGGAGGATCGAAGTGGCGGAGGCGGGGTGGGAAAGGGGTACCAAGCCGTTTAGCGATATTTCACGGGGTTCTCGTCGTAAGGGTTTCCAGCGGCGCACGGTATTACCGGAGGCAGTCTTGCAGACTCGAGATAAGGGAAGCCCGGTTCTCCGTTTCCGACGGCGAGAAGCGGCGGAGGCGGCTAAGGCGCTCGTTCCTCTTCTCCGTCTTAGCCTCGCAGCACGAGAGTGTGGAGGGAACCGGCGAAAGGAAAGTCGCGAGCAAACCCCTTCTGGTTGCTACGCGGTGTCCCTTTTCCACCCCCCTCGCCGCCGCTCTCCACCACCTCGCCACCGTAAACTCGGTTAATATCTGCTTATCCTGTCTTACCATCCGTCTCCTTCGATCGTTTCGCTTCCTACGCGGCTTCCTTCTACTCGTCGTATTAGTTCCTGCCAAGTATCGCGAACTTGCCCAACGTCGACGGCGCCGCGCGGAATATTCGCGGAATGTGGAGACGCACGTTTTCGAAGACGCGCAGGTACTGGGCTATGTATTTGTTATGCGTAATGACGAATGCATGCGAATACTAGAAATAATGTTTTATTATAAATATAAGTAAAAATAAATAAAATATTCTGAAGGTCTCATGTCAGTCGATATTAAAATTTCCCAAGACTATTTTGAGATTGTAAACTTTGATATCTCGGAATGTACCATTGTATATTCGAAATATACAATTTTGTACAATAAGCATCACGTTCTTAAATTACGGACAACAATATTGGTCGTTGAGATGTTGAAGAAAATATATAAGGCAATGTGAGCCAACACCCAGTTGAAAGTGGTGAAAAATGACGTATAATATTGGTATCGACCAATTTTTAATGTTAGAAATCACACAACGTCGCAATACAATTGTACGTTTCTCTACTACTAACACATTTATACATGTATAACATTATTATACATAACTTTTCACCACTTTCAACTGGGTGTTGGCTCACAATGCCTATATGTTTTCTTTTTAACAACGACCAACATTGCTATCCGTAATTTAAGTTATTTATATAGGAGCCTTATTCACATTTTTTTTTCTATTCATTATACGTTCTTTTCAAGAACTGACAACTAAAGAGGACGTTTTTGGGACTTTTACTGAACAAAATTCTCAGAGTGTTAAATTTTTCTTTACCTATCATTAGCTTGCAGAAAGAGCTTATTATACGTATATTGCAATGGACAGATTCTCGTACAACTATGTCACCTTTTTGCATGCGTTTTTTCACAGCAAGATAAAGTTTTAATATCAGTCTTTTAATATCAGAATATGTATGCTTCCAGCATCCTCCCTGATAATGAGGGGGTTAATAATTATCTGCTTTTGTAAAAAATATACTTTCCCCGCTAGCAAAACGGGGAAACTTGGAATGAGGCGCTCAACGGCTATTCCGCCTCTCTCGGTTTAGCAATTAGCGGCTGTTTAAGTGCACGTGCGCTCGTGCGGTCGGTTAATCTCTGCAATTCCGCGCGGGGACTTCGTTTCGTTCCAATTAGAAAGAAAAATCTCAGTAACAATCTCTCGGTTGGTCGGTCGTTACTTACTTATGAAAGGGACACGCACGTGTTCGTTCAATTTCGCCCCGGTACTTCCACTCTCGCGATTGCTTTTGCATGTTTCAACAGGTGTAACAATTCACGCAAATCTGTATGTTGCTAAATGACCGACGATATTTTATATTCTTTCACGGATCGATTCTTCCTGGAGAGAGAATGTCAAATGATTGTACTGGAAGCGAATTTTTAATGTTTGAAGCTTAGTATTATCTAATTCTCATGGAATAAAAATATTTATTATTCGGTGTATAGCTGTCACTTTCATTATTTATTAATTATTATCGAATCCAACGTATCTTGCAATTAGTATCCTACGTCGTCGCAATTTTAAAAGTTAATTTCTAATAAAAATGTCACACGGTATTTTTCTAATTTATTTTGCATATCGCACAAGTAAAAAGAAAGTCGATCTTGAATATTATTTTAAGCACGTGCATAATTTACGGTATAAGATAATCGATATTTGTACAATATATTTTTAAGCGTGTCGCAGGCTAACAAGTGCTAGAATAATTCTTTCAGATACTTACAATTTTCCCGGTGAATTTAGCATTCGCGGTCGGCGCTTTCGCGATTTCGTTCAATACCCCTGAGCGGCGCGGCATTCTTGGCGACTCATCGATATAATTATTAAACAGAACGTTTCTCCCGGGGACTGGCCGGCGAGGGAGACACGGCGAGGGAGGCGCGGCGACGGGTTCGGTGGAGTCCCATACCACACCCGGTGTATCCTCCGGTAATGAACGCAGCCACCTTGAACTGGCAAACGGATGAGCGGCCAGGCATAGGGAGTCTGTAAGGGCGAATCTGAGAGAGAAAGAGAGGACGGCCCCCGAAGAGCGACGGGGGACACGGTGGGTTAGGACGTGGGGGAGAGTGGCGGCGGGGAAGCGGTGGCCACTAAAAGGGGTTGTGTCCTCTATGTGATGAAAGCACCCTTCCGTGTCCCGCTGAGGCTCTCTCTTCGCGCCGTCGCCGCCGCCGTCGCCGCCGCCACCACCGTCGCCGCCTCTGCTTTGGTTCCTTTTCCTCTAGAGCTAGAGGGAGAGAGAGAGTGCCCTTGTCCTCCTTTCCTCTCTCTCTTTCTCTCTTTCGCCGTTTGCGCAACGTCGTCCCCCTGGCCTTCGCGTGCACCCACACGGCCGTAGATTCGCCGTGTCGATACGCGTCTGCCAGTTTCCACGTGTCTCTACCTCTTTCTTCCTCTCTCTTTCTCTCTCTCTGTCATCATCCGCCCCACGTGTGTGTGCGTGATAAGCCCAGCAGCAGCAGCAGCAGCAGCAGCAGCCATTGACGCCTCGGTGATCTGACGCGATTATACGTCGCGCGCTTCTCTCGCCGTATTCCCTCTTTTCTCTCTCCTTTTTTCTGGCTCTTTTCGCTTTTTGTCCCTCACGAGCTTCACGCCTTTTTCGCGGTTTTTCCAGCCGCCTCGCCGCCGCCGTCGCAGTCGCCGTCGCCACCGCCGCCACCGCCGCCACCGCAGCTGCCGTGATTAGGCTGAATCGCGCGTAAACGGTGGCGGCTTTAGAGCCGCACTCGAAGACAAAAATGGAAAACGCTACGAGGCGTGCCGACGGTATTTTTACCGGGCTGCGGACTACGAACAGAGACTAGATTAAGATAACACCGCGTCCTCGCTCCGGCTTCAATCCCTGAAAAGAATAAAAAAGTTTGTCATCTCGCCGTTCTTTGTATTGACACAAATGCGAATATATTCCGACCGTATTCATGGTCAAGATTCCAGACGAGCTTGAAAGCGTTACTCGACAAACGGAAGAGATGCAGTAATTCTAGACGCCGAAGATTTTATAATTACTCATCAAATTATGACATGTAATACTTCATTTCTTGTTACAGTTGAGACAAGTAAACGCAGAAGAAAAAGAAATTCGCCTTAGATTATTTTTCGACACATTTTCACTTGATTTGGAAAAACGTTTAAAATATTAAAACGATTGTAAATACGCCTTTGATTGCGAATACTGTTCTAATTATAAGCTCTTACAAGTTATTAATATTCTCGCTTACTCTCTTTATGGCAGTCACCATTTAAACAACTGTTTGAACTTGTCAGAGGATAACTCTCGATGACAGTATTTCATTTAAGCGGCGTACATTCTGTTCCTATTTAGGTATTACATTTATTGTCCCTATTCGTAATCTAAATTTTAACATTGTTAAGTTTTTGTAACACCAAGTATCATTTTTGGCCCTAGCCTCACTGAGGATGACCCGAAAATGGGTCGACGCGTTTGGATATTAATTAATAAAGCGATTAAAAAAAGTTCCACATTGGATAATTTCTACGGTTGGCTCGCACTGGCCCTTTCTCTCTACCTTACTGTCGGTCTTATTGAGAGCCGTCACTACGATTTGGATTAATATTCCCGCATTTTAATTTCTTTAATATTATTATCGTTTAATAATCCGTACCCATATTGGAAGTATCTCACGATTAAGATGAGATTAGTCGCTACGGCACACACGGCTGCGATAAAGGCGATGGAAAACATGAAGACGCCCATAATCAGTCTCCATTTGAACTTTCCGAAATTCTCGTGATGTACGAGGATGTACAAGGTAACCGGGATCAACGTGGCCAACGTAGATATGCATACAGCGCCGACCAGACCGGTAAAGAGATCGAGCTTCGGGATCACCGCTGCCAGAATGCCTGCAAAATACAGGGTTCCCGCTTCATCTCGGAAAATTTCCGTTCGCCGGCTAACGATACGCCTATCGATTAGCGTAATTAGAGCAAATTAAAGCAAATAACGCAGCCAGCAACGTTGTAGTAACTCTGGAGCGATCCGGTCTAAACGGGACTTCGACAAAATTGAGCATCTACATCGAATTCCGCGAAAGTGGATTCCTGAACTTTAGTAATATCTGGGTCCAAAGCGGACTGTAATCGGAAGGATTGATCGATTCCACCAAGTTGGTCGCCCCGGGATAAAGGGAGGGAGACGGGATTCAATCCGCCGCGGTCCATCGAGCTTGGCCGAGTTTACCTTGAAGGTAACGAGAGAGAGAGAGAGAGCGGAACAATGCGCGAAAGAGGTTTAAAGAGAAATTTTCGTTTACATGTAACGATGGTGATGCCGGAGCGGATTATCAGGTCCCAGAGAAACGGTGTTCCTTTACAGGTGCCGCGTTCGATGGCAGGTTCGGCGTAGCTGTCCTTGAGAATCCTGATGGGCATGTAACATTGCAATCCGTACGTGAAGTATATCGCCAGCGCCTGCATTATCAGTGCCGCTATCGTTGGTCTAAATGGCAGATGAAACTTGAGACGCGTATTAGTACAAGAAGTATTTCAAGAGTAAAGGCCTGTGTCCACGATGCTAGAACCTAGTCCAAGTTCTCGGAACTAGAACTTGGACTAGGTTCTAGCATCGTGGACACGGACCTTAAGCAAATATTACGGATCTTTCTTCCTCGACGTTTGTATGTTTTCTAATTTCTATGCTTTAGCCACAAAAATTCTGTCAAAGTCTACGTAAACGGCACTCTGTTCAAGTTAAGGTATCGTGTGATGGAAATATGAGATAAAGATTGGGTATTTGCTAGTACAATTTTGTAGTATAGCAATTGATGGAATATTACCCGTCGTGCGTCTCGTGATTACGGATAAAATTGCCAAGCGCATCGGGTCCCCACTTCAAGTAACCAATAGTCCCGACGAAGATGTGTATCAAGACCAAAAATGCCATGCCCCAGTTCAGTATTCCGCACAGTTTGACGTAATTCCAGGGTTTTTTCATACTGTGCTCTATTGCTAACACCTGAAAGATGCAGCCGACGTAATTCAACGCGTCATTGTCGAGTGCATGTCATTACTGAGAACAAAACCGTGTGGATTTATGATTAAATAGAATTCAAATAAATCAGTTACAGAAAGTGGGGACAAATTTGATTTTTTCTTTTACAGATCGAATACCCACCACTCCCGGCGAACACATACTGAAGAAGACCATCCCGATAAACTTGGGATACATGTCTACGTTCGGCCCGATCGTGAGCCACTTATCGCCGATTCCGTCTTTCAAGGCGTACACGATTCCAATGAGCGCAGCGGCAAAGATCAAAAAGTTGCCGACGATGGAAATCGGCGCGATGTCCGCCAGATTCTTCGCCGTGTTCATTACAAAAAGAAGTGGAAATATCATGAGCGCGTAGTAGCTCTGACCGATGATCTTGTCGCTGTCTATGCACTCTTGGATCGTGCCGGAAATGAACACGACGTAAACCGAACCGATCCCGATGTAACACGCTAACATCGTCACGTCGACAATGAGTCTATAAACAAATGGAAGCTTAAACCGCTCTGCCTCGCTCTAATACACTTCTAATTAGCGTATTGTATTCATCTCACAGTGGTAAAATACCGTAAAATACTATAGTGTATTTCCATGACAATAATTATGTGTCTACGATCGTCGTGTTTTAGTGTCGCATTGGTATCGTACAATACGCATTTTGTCGCGCTATGAAGGTACCCAGCGTGAAATAACGCGATTACTGAAATTACGAACGTTGCAGCGCGCGCAGAGAGCCACGGTCTTCGCACATCCGTGGTTAAAGTGGCGACTACCACCTCGTCATATACCAGGATGGGTTTTCTCAGACGAATGCACATGATATGATGAATTCTAACGAGTAACTGAAGGGATCCGGTTATCAGCAGTCCCATAAACACTGTACCGACAATCCCGATGAAGAGCCCGACGCAAGCGAACGCGTTTGGCATGGCGAAGAGACCCGTTCCGGCCGCGCTTTTTATCAAGTTTGCGAGAGAGCCAAAGTCTCTGGAAAAGAAGAAAAGAATCCCGTAAATAATACGAGTGGATGCGAAATAATAGCTAGAGCGACGGAAGGATTAAGGAGGAAGGGATGTAATTGCAAAATTGTAGAGTGAAAACTATTCTATTCTTATTCCTTTTTGTTTTCTATTTGTTTGCATTTCTTTGTCCCGGCAGATCGATATATTCGAATAATCTTTTTATTTCTTTTCTCGTACGATTGATTACATTTAGATTGATTACTTTTTTCCTAAATAAATTCCCCCTGAGTTGAAATGCGATTTGAAGACGTCAAATCCTTTTGGCCTCACAAGTTTTGTTATATTAATTTTATAAAACTGGGTGATCAAACCATCGTCATTTCTTTCCCAAGAGAAATAGACTGAGAAAAAAATTATGAAGATCAGTACTTCTCTCGAGAAAAAGGTACGTACATAAAGATCAAGTGATTTTACAGGAGAGCACTTTGAAAGTTTTAAGGCTATTTGGCGCCACAACTTCAAGTCCCTTGCATTGATTTATCCTCTTTTTCTTTGTGTATTTCAAATCGTGTCTACAAGTAGAGGCCAGGTGACAAATAGAATAAAAATTTGAAACTTTTTAAATTGTTTCTTGATTATTAGCTTCAACTCACGAGCGAACTTTATGAAACCTTATTTTTTAAACACTTAAAAACCGACAATATATTAAAACCCATTTTATATAACTTAAAATGTAAACAATCTATTTTTAACAAACTTTTAATATTTTCTCTCTTTTAGGAAAAACGACTTGACGATTAAACTTTAGTCAACGAATTATTTAGGTTAACGTGTTCGATGTTAATGATGCTCAAAAGATGCATAAAACTCGCGGAAAGTAATATTCGTAATTCTATAAATATAATTAATATTGAAATACTAGTCTGAAGTGGCAAACGCACGAGAATTTTATATAATTTAATTACATTATGTAGTATTTTAAGATGTAGATCTAATGGTGAAAATTTCATTTTGGTATTATCGGAGTGACAAGCGAATTAGATCTGGTATGTGTTAATGAATAACAAAATTAAACGAATAGTTTGAGAAGGACGAACGTACGACACTGGTTTGTAAGTGACACGATCCACGTGAGGGCTATAGACTTCTTGAGTCGTAGACTCGCTCGGTCGTTCCTCAGCCTCTTGTTCACCCCTAAGTTATAGAAACGTCATAACGAAAGTATGTATGTACAATCCAGTTAATGAACATTCTAATTGCATCTACATAGAAATTTTCTAGCCGTAATTAATTGCAAGTCATCTGATCGTATTCTATCTATTATTTTAAACAGGGATGACACTGCGAGTCAATCGCGCGAATCGAGTCAATAACGAACCGGCTATTCCCCAGATGTTACAAGATCCACCCTGGCTCGTTAATTCGAGTCGGACCGATAGAGCTGTAAGGCGCTTTAGAAATATCTTGGAAGATCTACTTACATCTCTCTCTCGATCTGTCAGTCCGCACGAAAATAGGCTGTGGAAACGCGATCGCTCTCAATACAAGCCCGCGCGCCAATTCGTCACGATCGAATCGCTGACGCGGCCGGAGAAAGGATCTCTCCCTCTCGTCGCGATCTTCCGCAGCACGTCGACTCGTGACAGCCGTCGGCTCTCACGGCTGATTACGGCCGATTAGCCGACATTAGCATGGATTTCTCGCGCAACTAATTTTCACGGGGAGGAGGCGCGAGCCGGGGACGGATGTGCCCGGCCGCGGTCGGCGCCGGGTATTGTGATCCTCCCGCTCGGCTGGACCGAGCTGACCGACTTAGCGCGCGCGAACGCGAGAGCTCAGTTACGGAGCTTCCCCGTGAGGGATTTAACGCCCCGCGGATCCTCACGGATTGGATAAAGGGGATCATGGACGACGTCCGCCGCTCGTGGGCTTTAACCGTGGATCCTCGCGGTTAAGGCCAACGACAAACCGCTTTCTTCTCCACGTCTCGCCCCTCGGAGACGAAACTTTCTTGTGTCAGCAGCGCGGATCCGGTGGAGTCTCTCCCTCAGATATTTCTTTCGTCGATGTCTTCGGGTCGATCTCGCTGTAGGGATGTGCATAGAACGAGATCCGTCGGGCGAGTTAACGCGCAGATTGCCCGTGAAAAGCTGATGCGCGACTTGTGACTCACTTGGACCCCTTTTGTGCGTGCATTTTATTTCGCGCTTCTTGCAACGCGAGAACGTTGCGGAAATTTTCATTTTGCTTCGCTCATTTTATTTATTTCAGAATGAATTTTATATGTCGATGTCACCTAAAGTAAATCTGAACCTATTTGTATAAGATTATTGAGGAATATCATATAATAATGTGACCTAACTGCTAAATCAAAATGTTTTTCTCTCGTTGCATCTCTATTTTTTAAACCTTTACATTCTATTGAAAAATTCCCCCTTTTGGAGCTTGACGCGCCCTTGGTATTCTTCATAATGAAGTGAACGGCGAAATAATCACCGTGAATACGTCTCTTAATGACGATCCCGTGTGACATTTGTTTTACTTACACCTGGATATTAGGCTTGTTCCTGTTGCTACACTGGTGAACTAGTGCAATAAATTAGAGTAAGACAAGTGTATTTTTTCTCATTCTAGCTTACTGCACTAGTTCACCAGTGCGGGAACAGAAAACAAGTATATTGAGAGTCTGACGAGAATCTCGTTTTCTTATTTAAACAATTCACCTCCTACCGCATAAAGGAAATTAGATCGGAGTCGTTTGAAATTAGAAAGGAGCGGTTCCCGAGGAGGCCAATGGATCTCCGTGGTGCGTTGACGAGGCGGGCACCGGGCGGAGTGCAGCGGAGGGACGCCGTCGAAGGTAAAAACGTGAAAAGGGACGATAATATCGGGGACGCCCCGCGGTTCTCGACTGTGACTAAATCCGCGGTGCCCATGCAGTGTTTACACTCGAGATGATGCCTCCTAATGCTAATACGTCGCCCGGGCGCGACGCAATACGCGGCGTAGCCCCCGGGTCTCCCGGTTTCTTAATGCTCAATCGCAATCCAATGAAAAGTGTATGAATGGCAAGCGATTATCAAGTCGAGCGGGCGCCCTCAATGTGTCCGTCGAGGCGTCCGCGGTAACCCCGCTGCGTTAACCGACGCCGTAGCCGAGCCAAATGGTACGAATCGGCGGCCCTCTTCTGTCTCCCTCCCGCGAACACTCCCTTACTCTTTTCCCTCGTCGCGTCCCGGTTCTTCTCCTTTTTTTTTCATTCTTTCGTCCTCTCTTCTCTCCGCTCGATGGACCGGTTAGCGACCCCGTAAACTCCCCGTGGAACAAATTTGGAAACGCGGCGCAGCACGTGGCTGGGCGCACTCGTTGTTATTAATCGAGTCAAAGAGCAACTGCCGCGGTAATTAACCGCGATAATGTTACATTAAACGGTGGCGGTTAATAGCAGAAGAAGCTCGACGGAGACAACGGCAGATAAATGCCTCGACATCCCCTTGGACCCTCCAACGTCTAACGTACGTTAAATAGAGCGACGGGAAGCAATTGTAATGATAAACGTGGCAACGCGATATTCCCCAATGATAAAATTAATCGATTCAAAGTATAACAATATGATACTTTGTGGCTATTTCGTGGAACGAACTATGGAAATCGCGTCGAACGGTATCGCGTTATATTTCGCTAATTATAATTGCGCGATTATAATTGCCGTTCGATAGTGGACCGTTGCCGGAGGGGGCGGGAGTCTCTCCCTTGTATCGGTAATTAGCCGCCGATGGTTTTCCATGAAATATCGATAATCGTGCGTACCACTAACGAGCGCGATTTCCAATGCGGCGAGGGAGGCATCGGCGGAGGAGGAGGCAACAATTGGACAGATCTAACGTGTCTGACGCGCGCTTTTTCCGCATCGTTGCCGGCGCGGCCGGCGAGCGCGGTGCGCAAAAGCCTTTTTGCCGGCGTACGCCGAAAATGTGACGTTATTTATCGGGGAAACGTTCGATTCGATTCGATTCGGCTCCGAGTGAAAACGGGCGCGGAACAAACGGCGGGACGGCTCGCGGGCTCGTTGCGCGCTCGAAAAATCATTCGAGGATCTTGCCGCTGACGTTTTTGTGCGTTTCGCCCGAGCCCCGCGGGGACGACGTGTGCGCGCATCGGCCGCAGAAGAGAGGAGCGCAACCTGGGCGCTACTGCCCGCCGCAGCCGCCGTTCCACCGACCGATTTTGTTTGCCGACACGCTCGCCCGCGCCCCGCGCGCTGAAGGATCGTTTTTCGGAGTCACTGATTCGCGTCGTATCCGGGGCTCCGAGAGCCCCGGAACCCGGCCACCTCCCGCGGGGGGTGCCTCGAGATTCTGCACGTGCCGCGGTGAGATATCCGCCCGATCGAAAGTGCACCGCTGACCGACGCTGACGTTCCCCGACGGGATGTTTGCGATCGAGCTATTAGCTATTAGACATCTAGAAGCGACGTCGGTCATTTCGACTTAAGGGGGGACTTCAAATTAAAAATTTTCATTAAATAAATAACTATAAATAACTGCTGTGTGCAACGTTAAACAAAGTGATGGAAAAAGAAAGGTGGTCCATGGTTCCCATGATTCCGGCTGTTCTGCTTATTTGAAACAACAAACTAAAGAGATTCTTACTTAGTAGGATTTTGGAGGATTTCAAGATGAATCGTGCATTGTTGTATTATGTG